AGGCGCTACCTACTGACACCGCACTTTGTCTTGAACTAGCACGTGAATATAAAATTTCGTTGAAATCATCTTTTACACAATACCCATTACCAGAGTATAATGCACTGAAAGCTTTCCATTCTTGTATACAATTCAAGTGCATTTTGTGCATAGAAGTTGCATGAACCAAATAGCTTGATGGTTTTTTCCAACGTTTTATACTGGTTTCTCACTTCAATCAAAAATGATTAGTTTGTAAAGCATTTGATATGGGTTTGGCTTAAGCCAAAGGATCAGTGAAAAAATTGTAGATTTGGAAGTATGCTAAAAGGCATTAAAAATTCATGAATCGTGCGAAAGAACCGATGTCAGATCTTTCCGAAACTCGACCCCCGTGTCAGGGAAGCTCCAACTTACAAGCAAAGGTTGACCCATTACGAACCGACAGCTGGTCAATGAAAAGCGGAAGAAATGTAATAACTCAGTCGCTATTTAATGCTCATATAGAGTAAAAGTGTATTTCACATTAGGTTCCAATTTGTCGTTTATCTGAGTGTCGAGACACGAGGACATCGAACAACAGCATTACTAATCGCTTGGCATTTACGAAAAAAAAAACACGTTTGATTATTTTTAAGCACATCAGTTTAAGGAACGAGTTCCTCTAAACTCGTCATGTATTGCTAAATTGGGTTGCATTCTACTAACTTTGTATCACAAAGCAGACAAGAGAGCACATTATTAGCGGGTCGCAAATTCCAGCTTGCATTATTACCTCTCACCTTTCTAAGGGTGCTTAGATGAATAACAGTTGCCTGTTTGATAAGTAATCAAGTTTTTCACTTTGATCTCAACGTTACAAATTGGGCAAGATTTTGCTTGACTACATCGAAGCGTTTTTGCACCCAATTGACAAGGCTGTTAAAATGCGTTTTGTAGCAGCGTCTGCTTGGGTTCACTCAAAGGAAAAGTTTTAAAGTGAGTATAATAGCTCATGAGGGCAATTTCTGGTTCGAAACAAGGAATTAATATGTAAAACGCAGATGATATCGCTATTTAGGTGAAATAATGGATAATCCAACACCGTGCAGTCTAAGCAGACACGGTCACCTCTGTAAATTTCCGTATGTCTGCCACGATTTCCGACCGAATATGACAAAGGCGGCGATCGCCCAGCGTCGTGCCATCATGGCCAACATGAGCGCCGATCCCTACGCTTTCACAGGCTTCATCAAGCTACCAGAGCGGTGGCCTGGTCCTAATTATGGCATCACTAATTTCGACAATCTCGCAGCTTCCATGCTCACCGTCTTTCAGTGTGTCACTATGGAAGGGTGGACCAATGTCCTCTACTGGGTAGACCTATTTGTTTGTCCTGATTCTACTCGGTGCTTAAAGTGATCTCTGTGCACCGGTGCCCACCTTTTCTGTAGATGAACGATTCACAAGGCATGGAGTGGCCCTTTCTATACTTCGTTAGCCTTATCATCATTGGCTCCTTCTTCGTGATGAATCTTGTTCTGGGTGTTCTAAGCGGGTATGTTCATCTTCGACTTGCAAATATCTTTGCAAAGCTATCATTGCTGGAAGCATTTATTTCCCTGCAGTAATTTACAAGTATGGTTCCAAGGTTTACAAGCATTCTCGTAAACCGCCTACTTTCATATTTGACTTCAGTTGTTCCTGGAATTATTAAACTGAACTTGACGCTGCCATACATCAGAATCTAGGTTGGGATATCACTTATAAATTGAATTGATTTGTCAACGTTTTGCAACAAAGCGAAGCTTAGGGGTTCGGTAAGACTACGAATGCCTCCTTAGGTTTTTTGTGCACATTCTAGTGTTGCTAGTCTTTTTCCTTTTGCTTTCCTCGGAACCACGAGCTAACTAGAATGGCCTGCCTCATTTGAATGCTGTTTTACGATCCTGATTCATTGAACAGGCTTCTCCAAACAGCCACTTATTTCCACTCTGTGAACGAGCGGTATCAGCTAGCAGTAAAACTCGTAAATATGAAAAAAGCGTTTTGTTTAAGTACCGAACGGTGCGTAGTACGACATCATTCACCGTTCATTTATTGACCATCCTGTAAGGCGGTTTTGAGCACTTATTGCTTGAAATCTCCGAATGCTTAGTCCTTTTATCTTTTAATAGGGAGTTTTCAAAAGAGAGAGAAAAAGCTAAGAAACGAGGGAAATATCAGAAGGCCAGGGAACAAATGCAGTTTGCTGAAGATGTTCAGGGATATTTGGATTGGATTGGGGCAGCCGAAGATCTCAGTGATGATGAAGATAATGCCAACCGTTTGGACGTCAAGGAGAAACGTAAGCATTCTTCGTTGCTCTCTTGCATTCCTGTATCCTTCACTTTAACGACTCTTTGGGACATTACTCACACGAGCTTTTATGCAGGGTTTAATTTTTGTGGCCTCTGCCGACGGAGTCAAGGTGGTGAGGACGAAGATGAGGATGATTCGGATCGCGGTGATGATTGCGGTTATCGGACTCAATCAAGCCAGCAGAAACAGTATTTCTTCTGTTTCCCAATCAGAGGGTAATTTGTTTCCAAATTCCACTTGGAGTACCATATCTCATCTTTTTGACTGTGATTTTCTTTATTGAATCGTGCAATGTGTCATTTTTCTTCCTGACTTTTCTTTTTTCAATAAAGTCGGCGATCAAGAAGGCTTAACCGGCGATGCAGACGGTCTTGCCGTCGGATGGTTAAATCACAAACTTTTTATTGGACTGTAATTGTTCTCGTCTTTCTAAACACCGGTGTTCTTACCTCGGAGCATTACGGTCAACCGAAGTGGTTAGATGTCTTTCAAAGTAAGTGCACTACTTTTAACGGATTTCTGAGCAGTACTGCAGATTTAACCTTTATCAAGGTTACCGTTGACTATCAGAATGATAGTACTTTTATTGCGCTTTCGGTAATGCAAATCTACTTAGCGTGTCTACACTGTTGGAAAGTTCAAACCGCAAATCAAACAATGATGAAATACGGTCAGCATTACTCATGTAACAGTTTGAGGATTGAACTTGAAACAGTTAGCTACACTACCACAATAAAATCATTTTCATTTTCACCACCGGCGCATACGAGAACAGCATTGCATTAACTTCCTGGTTATACCTGCCTTTAGGTGATGCAAACGTTGTGTTTGTGGTTCTCTTCACAATTGAAATGCTGCTGAAGATGTATAGTCTGGGTGTGCGGTGCTACTTTGACTACATGTTTAATCGCTTTGACTGCTTCGTGGTAATCTGCAGTATTCTCGAGATCGTGTTCATCATGACCAAACTGATGCCTCCACTTGGTGTTTCTGTGTTTCGATGTGCTCGTCTTCTTAGAGTCTTCAAAGTTACAAGGTATTTAATTCACAACTTTGTAGCATGAATTTTGGAGTTCGCTTGTCGCCTATGTAGTCGCAGCTTTATTCGCCACTTTTTAAAATTAAAAGGCAGCAAAACATCGCTACCTCTTTCAATTATACTGTGCCGATTGCGCTTTTGAATTGCATTTAGGGATTGAAATAATACTCTATTTTGGGCTACCAATGCATAATATTTCAAGTGTTGATGTACCATGGCAATAGCACGAACTGAATGAAGCATGTTCAGTTAATTAACTTTTGAACGTGGCTTTGGGGAATTCTAATAAAATTTTACGCATTCTTATCACTCTATAAGATACTGGAACAGTCTACGAAATCTGGTTGGCTCACTTCTGGCAAGTATGCGGTCGATTGCAAGCCTTTTGGTACTACTCTTCCTCTTCATTGTCATATTTGCACTCCTGGGAATGCAAATATTCGGCGGCAGATTTAATTTCCTCAGCCTACGGAAACCGCGTTCAAATTTCGATAACTTCTACCAAGCGCTTACAACAGTGTTTCAGGTAAACGTTGAGACGCAGCGCTGCACGTAGAAGGGAGAGAAGGGAAGTGGGTTTTATGTTAGCCGTTTCATGGTAATTGCATGAATAGTTAAACTTCATTTACGGAAATTATAGCTTTTAGAGCTCTTGGCTTGTTGTATTTTAATGCTAATAATGATTTTTCTCGAGCACTGATGTAATTCGTCACTGATTTTTTTGGTACTAAGTTCTGTTTGCAGCAAGAATGTTATGTAAACAGTACAAAACCTGAAACATTGTCAGCTAGCATTTTTGATTAATCGTAAGCGTTAACTACGTTTTAACATGGACAGCGTTTTGCGTAGGCGTTTATATGGGAAAGAAATTGATTAACATGCGATGACTTCTCTGCTTAAACTCGGCAGTAGAAAGTCTCGTAAGGTTCGCATGATCACTCTTTTGCAATCACACTTCATTTCAGTGAGACAACAATGCGTGGCATTATTATTTCCTGCCCTTCAAGCATAAACATAGAACTTTCACAGTTCAAATTGGCACCAAAGTGACCTGTGTTTTAAGTTTAGTTTGTTGTGACTAACCCTGAGTCCTCTTCATATATATGTTCGAATTGCAGATTCTGACTGGTGAAGATTGGAACGAGGCAATGTACATGGGGATAAAATCCTATTCTGCTCAGCCGTTCGGAAGTCTTGTTTGCCTCTACTACGTTTTCCTCTTTATTTGTGGTAACTGTATCCTTTGCTGCAGAGTCATCTGAAGGCGCACAATTGCCAAGACTAACTTTGCTAAGGCCAATCCGATGTTGTTCACAACTTGTTCTTGTATTAACCACATGTCTCCCGAATGCATCATACTTGGAACTCATGGTTCCAAGACGCACTGATAACGTGGGCGGTGTTCACCTTGACCTAGGTGGATGGATGCGCTGGGTATGTTGGTCATCTGATGCTTTCGTTGTCCTCCAGATCATTTTCATGTAAAACTTAGTTTGGCTATTTCAAAGCTGTTCAATATCGTCGTTCTCCCTTTATACTACGGTTGAGCAGACTTCTCTGTTCAGTCAG